AGGGGAAGGATACTGCAAAATCCCCATTCCTTCCCCACTCTGGGGCCAGTCAGAGGTGGTATTTGCCGGTTCTCCGAACTACTCAAAATTTCTTCTAGTGGTTCTCCAGAACCTACCAGAACCTGCTGAATTTCACCCTCAGGGACAATCCTTTCCTCACCTCAGGCATAGCCATAGCTCAGTAATGTGTGCCAGGCTGGCCTGTTCCTCACTAATGAGATCACAAATAAGAGGATGTGTTTTTTTAATTAAACAATCTGGCATTAGGAAACTACAGCCAAAAGCCTGGCTCTCTGTCAGTCTGTTAACCAAAATCTGGGCAGGAGTATAGAAACATATGAAGAGTGGTTTTAGGAACTGGGTATGTCCAGTTTAGAGAAAAGAAGAATTAGAGGGTGACATGATAGCAATATTTGAGGAGCTGCCACAAAGGAGAGGGGGTCAATTTATTTTCCAAAGCACCAGAAGACAAGACAAGAAACAATGGATGGAAACCAATCATGGAGAGAAGCAATTTGGAATTAAGGAAAAATTTCCTGTCAGTGAGAACAATTAACCAGTGGAACAGCTTGCCTTCAGAACCTGTGAGTGCTTCATCCCTGGAGGTTTTTATGAAGAGACTGAACAATCACTTGTCTGAAATGGTATACGATCTCCTGCTTGAGCAGAGGGTTGGACCAGAAGACCCACAAGGTCCCTTCTAGTTCTATTCTGATTGATTGGTACCAAACATCAGAGACATCTTCCCTGGGAGCGATCCACCCTTTGTCTCCTGTCAAACTATCCTATTCCCATCATAACTTTAATAGATTGACCCACCCCAAGACCTCAGAATCATTGATCTCCATTAATTCTTGCCTCCTGACTCCCCTAGCTAGGGTCCCTCCATCTACCTTGGTATTGTGGATGTCTTACTAACAGCCTGGAGATAGTGATAAGCTCCAATGGTGCTTAGCCCATGGTGCTTAGCCCTGCCTTCAACAGCATTGGGAGCCTGAAGCCACTAACACCATCCAGTCTAACAGCGTCACCTTAACCAGTTCCTCCCACTAGCTGACAAGCTATGGCCCAACTCATTTCGCTCCTCTTCACAACTCTCTCCTGAGTAAGAGGGTGCCCAGTTAAATACACATTTACCCATATTCCTATTTACATTCACTCACCTACACTTCATATCTATGCATTCCATTCCTGTAATGATAGTGATAGATTAAACCTGCCCTGCAAAAATGCAGGCAGAGGTTTAGTTCAAGTCAAACAAACTGTTGAAAAGGAAAACCATACATTGGCTGATTATGTAAAAGACAGCACAAAACAAGCACAGATGCAAGTTTACAGGAGTTTACTGAATGTACAGGAAATAAAACACAAATATAAATGATTTAATAAAAACATTAACAGAATGCTTGTGAGGAAAAGCTTTCTGTTTCTGCAAAAGACTGAGGGGAAACCAGGTAAAGATAAAACTTGGCAATGGCTTACAACTGGGACAGTTGTAAGGAAACTAAAGGCCTATTTTTGGCTGCTCAAGAGCAAGCTATTTGAAAGCAGATTGTATTAATCACAGCCAAAATTTGAAAAATCAGTAAATGATTCAAAGTACAGATTGTGCAAAGAAGCAGAAGGAACAATAGATTATATACAGTACTCAAGCTCATGCAAGATCATATAAAATGATTATTTAAAAAATGACATAACACAGTTCCCAAAATGATTCACTGGAACATCTGTAAAAATTTTCATGTGCCAATCATGTAAAATTGCTGGGGACATATAGTTAAAAATGTAGTCAAAAATGAGCAGGTTAAAATATTGTGGGATTTCCAAATACTAAACACATAACAAGAAAGTGGTTGGTTGAAAGGGAGAAAGTGTGTATAATTGATGTGACAATACCAGGGATAGTAGAATACAGAATACTTACAAAACTTTGAGTTGCAAACTTCCACCAATACAAACAAATTGATCCACAAGTCCTTCTTAGAAGGTCCTGGAAGTCAGGAAAAAGTGGGAAAGGTTTAGTTTCTGGAACGCTGCATACATAAGCAGCACACCAGAAATCAAATGTTTCCATCTTCTGCTGCCTTCTCTTGCTTCCTCCTGAAATGCCTGCAATGAAGCACCAGAGTGATAATGAAGAGAAGGCAGCACAAAGAAGCATCAATCCATCACGATCTAGAGCAGAAAAGGGGAATTGCGGCCCCTTTATAACTTGTGGACGTCAGTTCCCAGAATTCCTGAACCAACCATGCCGGCTCAAGAATTCTGGGAGTTGAAGTCCACAGGTCATAAAAGAGCAATAGTTTCCCACCCCTGAATAGACCAAGGTGAATATATTGGAGGGAGGGAGGGAGGGGAGGGGGAGAGGGGAGGGAGAGAGAGAGAGAAAGAGAGAGAAGATGAAAGTAGTACATTCCTTTGGCATGAATAGCTTGGTAACCTTTTTCTCCTTCTCATTCCTTCCAACTACAACCCTTTCTTGCTAGTTTCCTTAGTTCATTTCAACTCCTCCTCCCCCGGGTAAGAGATTCGAGGCGAGTGTGAAAAAACATATCTGATGATTCTCATAGCTTTTCCCAAATGCAGATTATCAATGGCAAGTGGGTTAGATGTCTGGGAAGTGACATGAGAGTATGGCAGACCATGTCTACCGTCTCCATTCTGTCATATCCCTTCCCTTCCATTTTAGTGACCAGGGGATGTTCCTCAAGATTTCCGCTGGACTCACTGATATCAGTTTTGCAGATAGCAATCTCTGGGTCAGTTCCAAAACTAGAGAGAAAACCAGCCACGTGATTGTGTTTCTCCCAGTAATGATAAACTACTGTACAAACTTGTAAACTGTCAGACATCAACAGCTGAGTCTCCTATTAGCCTTTGTTTCTTTTTCAAACAAACTAGTAGTTTGTGGCTTTTGGCTAGTGAATTCAGAACTACAAAGATAACCTTGAAATTTTCCATTTTTTCCATCTTATTTTGTATGATAACTGTACATCAGTGTTGGCGAACCTTTTTGGCACTAAGTGCCGAAATGGGAGTGTACACACGTGTGGGGGAGCACCAGAAACCAGAAGAGCAGCTCCCCAGTGTGCATGCACAGGATTGCGGGAAAACAGAAGAACAATTCTCCAGCACGCATGTGCACGTTGGGAAGCTGAGCTTCCAGTTTCTGGCATTCACGCTGGCCCCTTGGTCTTCTGGTTTCTGGCACACATGCGTGCGCAAAGGCCTGCTGCCCAGTGTGCATGCACACGCCAGAAACCAGAAGACCAGGTGACCGGCGCAATCCTGTGAGCCAGGGAGTTGCTCTTCTGGTTTCCAGCACTCCTGCGTGCAAGAAGACCAGCCGGAACCAGAGGAGCAATGGGTGACGACCGGTGTTCTTGGAGAGATGGCTCTGCGTGCCACTTGTATTTGTATTGTATTGTATTTTTGTATTTNGAAACAAAGAGAATGAGTTCTAGTTCTATCTTAGGCATGAAAGCCAGTCACTCTCTCAGACCAACTTACCTTATAAGGTTGTTGTTGTGGGGAAAACGGGAAGAGTAAGAAGTATTAGGTTTGTTTGACACCTTGAGTTATTTATAAATTAATGTGGGGGGAAATTTAATGGATAATATCATTTTATTTAATGTCTTTATGTTTTTGATCTGACAGTGCCTCTTGTTTGGAAACAGCACCACTAGAATAATTCAAATCCAGCTATAGCAGACACCCTTCTCAGAATGCTATATCTCTGTAGAGGGAAATTAAATTATTAGTACCAGCTGCAGTTTTTTAATCCCATTTTTTAAATGAGCAGTGCATAGTTTTGAGAGTAAGCCTTCCTGAATTCAGTAGTGAATATATGCCGAGTATATTTATCTGAATGTTCAATTTTAAAAAATGGTCATGTAATTCTTCAGTAAATAATTGTACAGCAGTATACAATATAACCATAGAAAGATGAGAATAAACAAGACAAGGAAAAACCAATGTCTGCTTCTGGAATTATTTCCAACCCCTCAATAGTAGCTTGGATATAGGTCACATGACCAAGAAGAAGGGCTTCGAATGGAGTAGCCAGCAACATTTTAAGCACTGTGCAACTGCCTCCACCATAAGGATACATTTGGCGACTGGGGGGGGGGGGATTTGGCCTTTTTTGTTGTCTACCGCAGTCTTTCTTTGCTGGCTTCTCTTTTCCCTGCCTCCCCTCCACACATACTCTGTTTAGTTAGGTTAGGGAGAGTATCTCAATGTGCTGGCTCAGTGACTGTTGAGCTTGTCAGTCAGAAAGATCGGCAGTTCGGCAATTCTAATCCCTAGTGCCACATAACGGAATGAGCTCCCATTAGTTGTCTCAGTTTCTGCCAACCTAGCAGTTTGAAAGCATGTAAAAATGCTAGGAAAAAAAATAGGAACCGCCTTTGATGGGAAGGTAACAGCGTTCCGTGTGTCTTCGGCATTGAGTCATGCTGACCACATGACCATGGAGACGTCTTCAGACAGCGCTGGCTCTTCGGCTTTGAAACGGAGATGAGCACCGCCCCCTAGAGTCAGGAATGACTAGCACATATGTGCGAGGGGAACCTTTACCTTTATCTTGCTTTTGGAAAATCAGCCTTTTTACAGAACTTCTTTCCAATATTCTGTTGGGTTAAAATTGCATTTTACTCATAATTTATTCCCTTATCGGGAGTTATTATATGCAGTGTTTTCCTCACTTTCTCTCCTCTGAGTGTAACATTTGAACATGAGTGATCTTCTTTGATTAGAAATGGAATGCACTAGTATTGTAGATATTCTCTACCTGCTTTTCTAAAGACTTCTATTGACAATCAGGATAATCAGATTGCTTGACACATGTACATAACTCAGTTGATTTCATCTTATACTTTGGTTCAAATTTGGGACTAAAAGAAGAGCTTATTGTACTCACTAAGTGAATATGTCTATTATATTTCTACTACATGGAAAATTAAGGATTGTATTTCCCCCTCCCTCTGCTCTACAGATAAAGGCCCACCATGAATTTTGAAGGTCTTGATCCAGCCCTTGCAGAGTATGTTCCTTCCCTACATCCTGCCCTAGATCCACACCTCAACCCAAGCCTGTTACAGAATGTGGAGCTGGATCCAGAGGGAGTCCCTCTGGAAGGCATTGCTGTGCCTGACTCAGTGCATATCATGGAAGGCATGTATTCTGAACTTCACACCGTTGTTTCAGAAGTGGGTGTACCTGTTTCCTTCTCCCATTTTGACCTACACGAAGAAATGCTCTGGGTTGGAAACCATGGAGTAAGTAGGCTTTTTATTTGTGTGCCAGGTTTGATTAACATTGATTATATGTTTGTATTAGAGTAGACCACATACACTGAGGAAGGATGGACTTCAAATTAACTTGGTGGCCTTGATGGAATGCTTTTAGGAAAAGATAGAATGCAGTCTTTGAAATTGAAACAGATGAATGATTTGCAACTTAGTTACTTTGTGATCTCATTATATTTGACCAAATAGTGACATGTAAGTTAGCCAAAGAAAGAATAAGCTAATTGACTTAGCAGACAGTATTATATATTTGAGTAGGTGAAAGAAACAGACGATTTCATGAGAATAAAAGGGAAATTGGCCCTTTGATGGAGAAGACAGTGAATTGGGCACATTTGTTTTTGTTTTTTTTAAGTCTCACTCAGTGTACTATCTGCACATTCAGCCCATTGTTGGAAAAAGGTTGATTGACTTGCCTCCCTCTGTTTCAGGGTCATGCCACTTCTTTCTTTGGTCCAGCCCTGGAACGATATTCTTCCTTCCAGGTACACAGCAGTGACGACATTCGACAAATCCAAAGCTTGGAAAATGGTGTGCTCTTTCTGACCAAAAACAACCTAAAATACATGTCAAGAGGTGGGCTCATAATCTTCGATTACCTGTAAGTAGCTTCTATTTACGGGAGCTTCTGGGATGATTACAAGATACTTATAGTTTCCTTTAGCCTTTTATTTATATTCAGCAAGAGGTTTTAGCCTGCTTCCTACAAAACCTTGAATGTCATTCTTAGAAAAATCTTGTGCTGAATTGCATTTTCAGCATGACAGAATTTAAGAGAAATCTAATTTAAAAGGTTGTTGCAAACTTCGTAAATCAGGGAACAGAACATTCCCACATACTACTTCAATATTTAGTTTCTTTCTGAGCAATGATAGACTTAGTCTTGGAAATGTGTGCCTTTCCAGAGGTTAGTTTGGCCGTTCTTGGAAGTGAATGGTGCACACCGGAAATGGATTGAGATTTTGTAAATGTATTTATCATATATTTATTATCACAACTTATGTAGCCTTCTATTTCTAGAAACTCTGAGAAGCTTGTAATATAAGACTAAAAGCAAAACTGATTATATAATCACTTTGAAAAAAATTCAAGGATATTTGACAATGATTTACTCAGAGGTATTTCTTAAGATTGTTACTATAAAAATGAATTTAAAGGAGAAGAAAGAATAGGATACAACTGATAATGAGGCTGTTTTGGATATGGATTTAAAAATGACAGGCTACAAAAATGATGCTAACAAAGAAGTTAAAAGAACTTGCAAATAAAACTGGCTAATGTTTTAATAGCTAGAAGAGACACTCAAATAATAAATCTAAAGAGTGTCTTGAATGTGTGGATTTCAACTCAGAAAAGTGAATTGGACAAGTTTTTTTAGAGAAGGAAAACGAATTAGCTTTTTTCTTAAAAGAAATAAACATCAAGATTTTAAAAAGCAAAATAAAGGATTATAAAATTGGTTTATTCAATCAAGGTTAGATTATATTTTTTTCTTCAAGTAGCTTTTAATGCATTTTTCTTGACCAGGAATAAATGATGAAGCTTTAATGATCTGTTTACAGATAAGACACGACAAGAAGAATTTTTGTTTCATGTTTAGAAAAAGTGATAAAAAAGGCAAGTGCTTAACTTGTAACAGAATTTCTGTGAGAAGATGAAGAGAAAATGATAAAAAATAATTTGTGGGATACTATTTGAACGGATTAAGTATCAAGATTTTCAATACTTTGTTATTTCTGGTTATTGTTAATGGAATTTTTGTTGACTAAAATTGAATGATGAGACTTTGAAGATTTGTTTACAGATATAAGATAAGAACTAAGAGATTCTTTGGCTTTATTTTTAATTATTGTGAAATTATTGTGTAAAGAAAAGGAAAAGAATATGAAATTGATTTATTTGTTTAAGGTTTAATACAAACACATAAATTCTGATAATTCTCAATGCAGTTTTACTGATTAAAATTGAACGATGAGTATTATTTCTGATGGATAAAATATGAAATATAGAAGGAAAATACTTTTGGTTGAACAATTGTTATATATTTTTAGCGTTGATTTTTTTACCTTTGTGTTTTTAAAGTTCAATAAAAATTATGATTAAAAATAGATATTTAGGCACTGAATCATGTTATTGGTCTTTCTTGAAATTACATGTCCTTATAAGACACATTTAGGAATTCTCCCAATTTTTGCCCTTGGGTCACCCTCTTTTTGTTCTGAATGCATCCATTTTATGGAGTTCACCCTATAGTATATAATTTTAATACATTATTAAAATAATAAAATATATAAAGGTCTACATTGAATTATAATAATGAAGTAAAACAGGAATTAAGTATATTCCATGATTAAATTAACCAAACATAACAAATAATAAAAAATCTATATTTATTTATATTTCTTAACTGTCCTCCGTACACTCTGGGAAGTGTGCATATGGTAAGTATAAATGTCTGTGCAAAATCTTTTCACTTATATTTAGCTTATTAAATCTGGATTATGTAACAGCATAATATTCAGTCTTTTTAGAGCAAAACACTTTTGAAATGTGGAGAACAACTTCATATCAGGAAGTTGCCTTTCTTTCCAGTTAAATCTAATTATCCTCTTTGGTAAACTCCATGTTTGATAAAGCCAAAACTCTTTATAAGACAAGAGATTCTATATTGTAGGAATCATGTAGATTATCATGCAAAGATTGAGAGGGGATTTTGGTCCACAAAATGTTGTTCATTGTTGACTGATGGAAAAGGCAGAATCTCAGAAGCATGAGGTGGGCTTTTTCGTTTTATGCTTCTGATGCATTGCGTGTTCATAGCCGATTATTTCCTATTTGAAAAACCCCACAGAAACTGTAGCATAGATTTCACAGTCTGCCCTTTTCAGGAAGAATAAAGGGCAATGTCAATATCTGTGATGATGACCACAAGCAGTTTTTGGGTTGGGTTTTTTTTTTTTTTTTTTTGGTGATGTAGCATTGTCTATATTTACTTAAAAGGTATAAGAAAATCATGTGTGAATGGAAGGTATCAATTAGATCTGGCCTCAACAAATTCCCTTTTTCTCCTGAAGCATGGATGAAAGTGAGGATATGCACAGCCTTTTACTGACTGATCCTGGCACTTTGCTTGTTGGAGGCCTAACCAACCATGTGATTGAAATAGACCTGAACACAGTGCAGGAAACTCAGAAGGTACCGTATCGTTTTACTGTGGAATTGATCCAGTGGTGGGTTACGATCGGTACGCCCCAGTACAGGCGTACCAGTCCCTCCTGGGAGCGTTCCGGTATGGTGCTCCGGAAGGCCCTCCCTCCCTCCTTACCTGTAGTTGAGCCGATCGAGGCTTACAGATACACGCATGGAGCGTACGGCACCTGTGCAATGCTCTGCCAAGCAGCTGGAGCATCGCGAGCGGTAGGTATGCATGTGTGCCTTATATGCATGTTGCGCACATGCATGCGGTGGACACCCGGCCCAGTTGCACCGTACCGGTTGCAATGGGATCCAGAACCCACCATTGAATTGATTATAAGAATCTCAGATTGCTACACAGCGTGGGTTGGTTAAACGCAGCTAGCTATCTGGTGAAAGCGAGAAGAGTTTCTACTGAAATGTCAATTTCTCTCAGCCTTATAAACAAACTATGAGTCTAAAGCAGAAGAGATTAGCTCATGTTAGAGAGAGAGAATTCATTGAGAAATACTGTTCCCTCCCAGTAATAATTTTTCAGACAGTACTGGTTCTTGTTATGACCAATGTAAATACCAATACTACTTCTCTCTCTCCCTCAAAGAGGTACTGTTGAAATAAAAATCATGTTCTGCTCACAAGAGTTTTGGGTATGTGAAATTAAATTGCATATTTAAAAATAAACATGTTATCTGTGTTTCGAATGTTAAGAATAAGATCATAATACAAAATCACAATACAGATATGAATCAGGGTGAATTTCAAAACTTTTTACTATCTATTTTGTGGGTGTGGCCTGGTGGTCATGTGACTGGGTGGGCGTGGCCAACTTGATGTCACTCACCAGGAGATGTTATGGATTGGGTAAAATGTGGTGAAGCGCACTTAAGAACGCTCTTGCTCAGCAACCAAAATTTTGGGCTCAATTGTAGTCATAAGTTAAGGACTATCTCTGCCCTCCTCTGCATGGCAGCCTTGTCCTAGTAAACTCCTTCTCCTTTCTGGCAATTTTCCTCTCTGTTAGAGGCATCAAAATAGTCCAGACAATGTAAGGTTTCCTGCTGCAGCAGGGGATTGGACTAGATGACCTCTGAGTAGCNAGCTCGGAGAGGTGGACGCGGGGCAAGAAATGAGGACGGCTCGGGTTGCTATAGCTGCGGCGAAGAGGCCGAGGAGGTGAGGAAGCGGAAACGGGCGAAGCGAACCCGGACAGCAAAGCATTGTGGGTAATGCTTCCCTCCCCCCCCCTTTTGGAGGGAGAGCGGAGTTTGTGTATCGTTTCCCGAAAGGATGGGAAAGAAAGGTCGGGTTGTATTAAGAAGCGCTTAATGCAGTGTTTCCCAACTTTGGCAACTTTGGCAACGCGAATGGTGGCTGGGGAATTCTGGGAGTTAAAGTCTGGACATCTTCAAGTTGCCAAGGTTGGGAAAGACTATCTTAACGTGTGAATATTGCGGCCCCGAGTAACCGGGCTTAATGGGAGCAGGAAGTTATGCGAACAACTTCCCGTAGCCTCACTTTTCGCGGTGGGTTATGGGCATTGTGGGTTAGCTGCTGAGTTGGGCCGACATAGACTACGGAGGCCGCTCTTGTGCGATAAGGGGAAATGGCGAGAGGTGGCTCTGCTCCTCTCAGCAACTTCTACTCAGCGAGGTGGTCAAAGCGCATCATCAATCCTTTAGATGCGATTGGACTACAACTCTTTGACAGCTCGAGCAGCGCAGCCGGTGATGAGGGATGCTGGGAATTGTAGTTTAGCAGAGAGAAAGAGCCGTGGCCTGTTTGTGGTGAATGGTCGTTTGGGAGGGAATATAAATCCATCTGTCACAACATACAGCTGTCACAGTGCCATCCTTCGTATGTCTAATAAAAGAAGTGGGGGGTTATTCCTTTGGGTCTGTTCTCCCCTGTCTTTCTGTTCTTCCTAGAAATAAACAACACTAAAATGGTGATAACGGTAAAGGTTCCCCTCGCACATATGTGTACATCATTCTAAAGTGCAAGCACTATGCCAGAAAAGGGTGGTTCCTCAGAGAGCCTGAATTTAATTTTGGTATTTTTTTTATATTATGGGTTTTTAACCAAATTTAAAGTCCAATTTAAAGTCATGAAGGGCTGCAAAGGTGATAACCATCACCTTGAATTGTACTTGGATTCAAGCTAGCATCCACTGTAACATGGACAACCTATGCCCCCCCCCCAATCCCCTGCCTGCCTCATTTTGTACTGGTTGTCATTTCTGAATATTCTTCAAAGGTAAACCCCATGTAGACTGCATTGGCAGTAGTCCAGGCATGAAAGTATCAGGGCTTGAGTGACTGAGCATTTTTAAGTGTGGTTTTTCCCAAAAATAGGGGAAGATGTGTTAAGACTACAATTCCCCAATTCAAGTTAGTATAGCAATTTATAACTTAAGCTATGAATTTGGGAATTTTGGTTCTGTGTCAGAGAGCTGAAGGTAGGTTGGCATATAACACTTCCTTAAGTAAGAACTTAGTTCTGCTTAATTGTGAGACATGCATGTTTAATTAGAGGTAAATTTCACAGAATACAATTATTAAAGGTACTCCCAAAAATTGGTGGCTGCTTTATTTTTGTTTCCAGTATATCTGTTTCTTCAGTGGCAATTAATGCACACTTAATACAGTTGGGCTACACATTTAATAATATTAGAGAAATTTTATTACGGTTTTTCCTAGGCTTTACTTCTGATTTAATTTCTAGTTGAAAAACAGACAACATATTTGGTCCAATTTTGTTTCATACTGTGATGCTAAGATAAATCAGACTTTAGGACAGCATTTGTGATATATCTGATAGCTGAATATTATTTTTTCCCCAAGTTAAAGCTGGACACGTAATTCACTATTATGCACCTAAAGATTGAGTGTTGGAGCATAAATAATATTACTTTTTTCCAAGTTAAAGCTGGACGCATAATCCACTATTATGCATCTAAAGGAGGGTCTTAGATCTTAACACAGATCTGTGACTAAAAAGCTGTTTGATTATTTTCATCTAATTTCCAAATACTCTGGTCTGATGAAAACAAATAAAATATTGAAAAAACTCCTAGACGTCATGATTTGCCACAACATGCAAAATTGTCTTCAAATTTATCATTTTTAAAAAATTTTTGGTATTTNGCTTCTAACTGTCCCTTTTGTATTCTTAATCCATATTTTATTCTACTTTAATAAGGCTATCTCTCCTAAGGCTCCTAAAATCCTACTAATAGCAATAGCAATAGCACTTAGACTTATATACCGCTTCACAGTTCTTTACAGTCCTCTCTAAGCGGTTTACAGAGTCAGCACATTGTCCTCAGTTTCCCAATCTCGGAAGGATGGAAGGCTTAGTCAATCCTGAGCCTGGTGAGATTGGATCTCCAAATTGCAGCCAGCTGGCAGCCAGCAGAAGTAGCCTGCAGTACTGCATTCTAACCACTGCGCCACCATGGTTTTCTACATTTCCTTATTGTCCTCTAATAGTTGACCAGAGTTTCCCAGTAAAGATGTAGTACTATAGCCCTATGTAGAAAACCTTTTATTCCTCTGAGAAAGGCAAGAATGCCATAGACTACAGAGCATTCATGTATTGATGATGTGCATTCTCTATTGCTGGTGAAATTAGAGAATCACGGGCAATTGTCTGAGATCGGCAGATCTCCTGAAACAGCCTCAATCTTCTTAAAGAATATCTAGTTGATAACCTTTTGTTCTGGTTCTAAACACAGAATGAAGCTGACCCAGTGTTCCAGATAACCTCCAAGCAATGCACATAATCATGGATGATTCCATCAGCTGAACAGCCACCATTTTTCAGTCCTCGGAAGGAAAGTTGCACTGTAATCATGGTTTGTAGCCACTATGGGCAGAACCAAAGGCACACCTATCCATCCTATTTTCTGCCCCTTCTCCTATGACTATGGTGGTAAACGGCAGTGGTGGAATTCAACTTTTTTACTACCGGTTCTGTGGGCATGGCTTGGCAGGCATGGCAGGGGAAGGATACTGTAAAATCTCCATTCCCTCCTCACTCCAGGAGAAGGATACTACAAAATCCCCATTTCGTTCCGATCAGCTGGGACTCAGGAGGCAGAGAATAGATGGGGGCGGCGCCAGTCAGAGGTGGTATTTGCCGGTTTTCCAAGCTACTCAAAATTCCCGCTACCTGCTGAATACCACCTCTGGTGAAGGGTACATCAAAACAGCCACAGACCCTTCCTAGATAGATCCAGTTGTTGCATCCTCTCTGTGATGGTCAGGAAATAGGACACTTGAACCCCCAGGAAGTCACATGTCATGGCAGACTGGTTGAGTGCAGTGGGGAAGTTAGTTTAGTCCTAAAGCACTTTGGGATTTTGGAGGGGCTAAAATAACACCTTATAAATCAATTATTTGATTTTAGAATTTCCATAATCCCAAATAATCTGCCTATCCTCCTCAAGTATACATCATGCAAACAGGACCACTGAGTAATCTGTATTTGTTGTTTCTGAATTTAGAATTGCTGTTGACAAGCTGGGGAGAACAGAGGTTAATTGAATTGGTCGGGCCTTTTAATAATTAAAAAAAAATACTTTCTGTTCAGCAATCCAACATCAAGAGGTCCCAGTTCCATTTCATTATCATTGGGCTGGATCTATCTAAATGGCACAATATTGAAGACTGCTTAAGCCCTGAAGGGGTTGCTGGGTTTGTTTGCTTTTTGGCAGCATTTTTAAAGCTGTTATCTATAAGCTGCAAGAGCTGAGAGTAGCAGGTTCCTTTTGCATGTCATCAGCTATCTCCGATCAGTCAGGAAGTGAGGTCTTCTGTTTTCCTTTGTTCTGAAGAATGACACTTAAAAGTTAATTTGTCCTTTTTTCACTCCTTCCCTCAATAATTTGGTTTTCTATTTCTTCAGTTTCTCTGGATTCCATTTTCATCAGCTCTCTGGTATACAATTCCCATTGTCATTTCCACAGTAGCTCTTTTGACTCTTTATATTAACTTTCTCAT